CATAGGTAATATTCAGTTTTTCTTCTGTTTTTGTATGTTCTGAACTCTTGTGCTCTACAGGTAACGTTATTGATGATAACAGTCTCTTACTGCATTCACCATACAGCAAAGCAGCTCCAACTCGCACTAAACACTCGGCTTATGCTAGTGTTGTTGAATAAAATCAGCAAACAATGCAAAAGAAATATGACAACGAGATGCTGCGCTGCCAGAAACTTGTATTATTGTCGGCTAGCGTTAGTGAAAGAGTCGTTCGGGGGATTCATTCACAAACGAATCGCTCCCTCCGTCAGTATGAGCAGTGAAAGCGGTAGAGGAGCTGTGTTTCAGGACATGATTAGATCAAATTAAATTAGCAGGGAGGGTGAATAGTACATTTCTGTACACACTAACACAAGCTTTTTGTCAGGAATGCCCGTGCGGTCACTGATCCATCAATGCAGAAAAGTGATGTCAAATTATAGTTTTCGTAATTAGAAAAAAAAAATTACATACTAACATCCAGGAAAACTCCCGATCACAGATATATGTGTATATGTGCATATCTCTGGCTTTGGATGGCCACAGTCCTCCACTGTACATTGGTCCCGCATTCATTTCAAAGGAGCGCTACCCTGTAGCAAGATGGCGGCGCAATTGACGCATTCCGTCCAATAGACAACAATAGGCCAGGCGACATCTAGTGTATATATCTATGACTGAGCTCAAGAGGAATCTCCAACACGCATACACACATGTACAAAGACATGTACACAAACAAACATGCACAGCCACATAAACAATCAATCACACTTACATTTACTGAAAGCAGAAGTTTACACACACTGTATGAGGCGGCACATCACCATTTTACACTTTTCCTCTTTTAGTTAAGGATGATCACTTGTGCTTCTGTTCTCCTCAATATCAGAATAATGAGAGATATTTGTTTGAGAAATTGTTCTAACTCTTCTTGAAAGTCAAGTTTACACACAATCAGATTATTCTGCCTCTGATAAAGCTCAGATGATGATGTCAGGGTTTAGGAGGTTTCTGATTGGCTGATTGACAACATTTGAGTTAATGTGAGGCACAACTGTAGAATAGTATTGAAGGAAAAGCTCAAACACACTGCTTCCTTGTGTGACAACATGGGAAAATCAACAAGCCAGAATCAACAACAAAGCCAGATTACCATTAGCTGAATGACACTGGGGAAAGACTGGTGTTTGGAGACATGTCCTGTGCTCTGATGGAGCTGAGATTGAACTGTTTGGCCTTAATGAGCAGTGTTACATCTGGAGGACAAAGGGGAAAGCGCACAAGCCTAGAAACACCATCCCAACTGTGCAGTATGGGGGCGGCAGCATCATGTTGTGGGGCTGTTTTGCTGCAGGAGGGACTGGTCCACTTCACAGCATAGATGGCATCATGAAGACAGAACATTATGGAGAAATACTGAAGCAACATCTCAACACACCAGCCAGGACATTACAACTCAGCCACAAATGGCTCTTCCAGACAGACCATGACCCTGAACACACTGCCAAACTAGTTTAAATGTGCTTTAAGGACAACAGAGTGAATGTTTTGGAGTGGCCATCACAAAGCCCTGACCTCAATCCTATAGAGAATGTGTGGGCAGAGCTGAAAAAGCTTGTGTGAGCAAGACAGCCTACAAATCTGACTCAGTTACAGCAATTCTGCAGGAGGAATGGGCTAAAACTCCTGCAAACTATTGTGAGAAGCTTGAGGAAGGAGACGCAAAACATCTGACCAAAGTTATACAGTTTAAAAGCAAAACTAAAAATACCAAGGAAATGTGTGTACACTTCTGACTGTCGAGAAATTAATAACAAATCCTCTCATTATTCTGGCATTTAGCAAATGTCAATCATTTAGGATATCCTGACGGACCTAACACTGTAAACATTTAATTTGATTTACCATCAGACATTTAAAAAAATGGTTCTGCTCCTTTCTTTACAGTGTATGTAAACTTCTGCTTGCAACTGTATATCCATGCCTAATATCAGATGGGCAGAAAGTGATAAATGTTTTATAAACTGTTAAAATATTGGTGTCAGTGATGCAGCAAGTCTACAGACTAGTGTACACGATGATGTTATTCAAAAAAATGTACCTTAATGTCTGATATGACAAAAAAAGTGGCCAGAAATGAATATTTTCTTAATTCAAATGAGTAGCGGACTGGACCCGGAAACAGTATTCCACACGTCACCGATACATCACGACTTAACAAGCCGACAGGGGCCAAATTCTAGACTTTGTCAGAAGTGGGGTGCGACATTCAAATCACCCGGACCCCCCTGGCTATGGGCCTGACTTATTACATATCTTGTAAAAGGAGTAAAATAGAAGCCTTTTAAGACACCCTGATAACCTCACCTCCAAACTAAAAAGGGTGTGTTTCCCTTCAGAGATCAGGGAATTAAATACATTAATGAATCTTACTAAGACATCTTGAGAAGTTCATTAGTTTCTGGCTTCCAGACGCCACGAACAAGCTGCTCAAAGTTACTGATGAGTCCTCCTCCGGCTCCTGCAGACACACACACACAGATATATATGTATTATTGATATTTCTGTACTCATCAGACTCGGTAATAACGGTATTCTGATTATTTTTGCGAGTGCAGGGTTGTGTAATATCCAGTGAATCAGTAGGGTTTTGTTTGTTCGCCTGCTGATGTGTTTTGACTCTTAAACTTTTATCATTTTAGCGGCGCTCGTAATTACAGTCACCTCGACCTCCTGATATTTCAAGCCTTTCCTCGGAGTAATTGAAGGACATCGGGGTGAAATGCATCATGGGTTTAATAATGAGTGTGATGAAATTCTGAAAAATAACCTTGAGCTTTTAAACATTGAAATGTCAAGCTGAAACAACTGTAATAAACGCGGAGACGAACAGAGCCGGATAAAGATCACACGCATTTTATCTTTAGATGAGCTGGATTATATGATATCTGGATTACGCAATCAGATTACAAAAATCAAGTATTTATAACTAGAATAAAGTACTTTTGAAATACACAATCACACTACAGTTACTTTTTTAGTTACTTTTAGTTACTTTAGTTAGTTACTTTATAGGATTACATGTTCACAGAATGGCAGTAAAATGTTCACAGTTCATTGATTCTCCTCATTTTTTGACAGTCATATTTGTTTGTAATAAACCTGCAGCTTATATAGACTAATGACTCTTGTTTATAAGTTGAAGAGAGTGGAGAGGGGTTATATGATATTAATATCATCCTCTGCACAGTGTTTTAGATGAATTATTTAATGATATTGCTGTGAATGTCATGTCATTCAATATTCGTTTAATTACTATTTATACTATTTGCATAATTACTATAAATTATTTATTACTATATTATATAATTACTCAATCAGATTTTTAAAATTAAGTACTTGTAATACTTTTTAAAATACACGTAATCAGATTAGTTACTTTTTAGTTACTTTACAGTTATTTTTAGTTACTTTTTAGTTTAGTTAGTTACTTTTTAGTTACTTTAGTTACAGTTACTTTTTAGTTACTTTAGTTAAAGTTACTTTTTAGTTACTTTAGTTACAGTTACTTTTTAGTTACTTTAGTTAGAGTTACTTTTTAGTTACTTTAGTTACAGTTACTTTTTAGTTACTTTAGTTACAGTTACTTTTTAGTTACTTTAGTTACAGTTACTTTTTAGTTACTTTAGTTACAGTTACTTTTTAGTTACAGTTATTTTTTTGTTACTTTAGTTACAGTTACTTTTTTAGTTACTTTAGATGCAGTTACTTTTTTAGTTACTTTAGTTACAGTTACTTTTTAGTTACTTTAGTTACAGTTACTTTTTAGTTTAGTTACAGTTACTTTTTAGTTACTTTAGATGCAGTTACTTTTTTAGTTACTTTAGTTACAGTTACTTTTTAGTTACTTTAGTTACAGTTACTTTTTAGTTTAGTTACAGTTACTTTTTAGTAAATTTTTAGCTACAGTTACTTTAGTACTTTACTTTTTTAGTTACTTTATAGGATTACATGTTCACACAATGGCAGTAAAATGTTCACAGTTCATTGATTCCCCTCATTTTTTAACATTCATATTTGTTTGTAATAATCCTGCAGCTTATATAGATTCATGACTTTTGTTTAAAAGTCGAAGAGAGTGGAGAGGGGTTATATGACATTAATACTGTCAACTGCACTTCTAGTGTTTTTACATGAATTATTTGATGATACTGCTGTGAATTTCATGTCCTTTAATGCTTGTATAATGACTATTTATACTATTTGTATAATTACTATAAATTATAATTGTTATTTCGTAATTACTCGTAATCAGATTACAAAAATGAAGTACTTGTAATTAACTGCTTTGTAAAATACACTTCAAGAGTTGACCTTCAGCTGATGATTGATTATAAAGCGTGTTTGGCATGCTGTCCCGGGAGAGAGCCCTAAGCTCTTAAGATCCTCAAGCCTGGGGCTCCCTCCTGTTTGCAGGGCAAGAGGGAAGTTTGAGCTCAGGTAGATCTGAAGAACTCCCCTGCTGTAGTAGCTAATGAACAGACAGTGATCGCTCTTAAGAGGTAACTACTGACTAGGAGCATGTCTATGGTGCCGATTTGGATTAGTCAATTAACTTAAGCAGCATGTTTTTAGATGGTGGGAGGAAACCGGGGAACTCAGAGGAACCCCACGTAAGCATGAGGAGAACGTGTAAACTCCACACAGAAACGTCGGCTGGCTTGGTAAGGACTTGAACCAGTGACGTTCTTGCTGTGAGGCAACAGTGCTAACCACAGGGCCAGCAAGAAAAGGAGGAGGAGTAGGGGTGGAAGGGGGGATTCTCCAACATGAAGATGGCTGTGATATGGAGCTGAGGGTATTTAAGGTGGCTTAGAAGTCGTCTGATTGTTGAATCATAAATTGAATAATGCGGGACCAGCTGCAAGCAATCATAAGCACGTCATCCTCTCGACATTAGTTTATGAATACACTTCACAATCAGATTACATTTACCTTTTAGTTACTTTAGAAAGTTACTTTTTAGTTACTTAAATTACAGTTACTTTTTAGTTTAGTTATTTACTTTTTTAGTTACTTTAGCTTCAGTTACTTTTAGTTACTTTAGTTAATTTTTAGTTACAGTTACTTTAGTTACTTTTTAGTTTCTTTAGTTACGTTTTTAGTTAGTTTTAGTTACTTTAGTAAAAGTTACTTTTTAGTTTAGTTAGTTACTTTTTTAGTTACTTTTTGTTATTTTTCATTACTTAACTTACAGTTACTTTTATAATTACTTTAGTTACAGTTACTTTTTTTATTTACTTTAGTTACAGTTACATTTAATTACCTTTTAGTTTAGTTCGATATTTTGGTTACAGTTACTTTAAGTTACTTTTTGCTATTTTTCATTAATTTTAGTTACAGTTACTTTATTTTTTACTTTAGTTACATTAACTTTAGTTATAGTTACATTTAATTACCTTTTAGTTTAGTTTGATACTTTGGTTACAGTTACTTTTACTTACTTTTTGCTATTTTTTCATTAATTTTAGTTACAGTTACTTTTTTATTTACTTTGGTTACAGTAACTTTAGTTACAGTTACATTTAATTACCTTTTAGTTTAGTTTGATACTTTGGTTACAGTTACTTTTAGTTACTTTTTCAATTGATTTTAGTTACAGTTACTTTTTTAGTTACTTTAGTTACATTTACTTTTTAGTTACTTTAGAAACAGTTACTTTAGTTAGTTAATTTTTTGGATTACATATTTACACAATCACAGTAAAATGTTCACAGTTCATTGATTCTGCTAATTGCTAATGTTTATAGTTGTTTGTAATAAACCTACCGCTTATATACATGCCACTGATTCTTGTTTCGGAGAGTGGTTATATGACATCATTAAAAATAAAATATGTGTAACTAAAATAAATGACTTTTTAAAATACACATAATCAGACAACAGTTACTTGTTAGTTACTTATTAGTTACTCTTTTGGATTACGTTTACACAATGGTAGTAAAATGTACAAAATTTATAGATTTTCCTCATTTTGAAAGTTTATATTTGTTTATAATAAACCTGCCACCTATACATGTTCGTTATATTTGTTTTTATGAGATGTCATATAAATTATACACATGTGCCTGATTCTTGTTTCGAGAGTGGTTATATGACACAAATCAAAAATCAAATACATCCAACGAAAATAAACTACTTTTAAAAATGCACCTAATCAGACTACAGTTACTTTTAGTTCCTTTTTTAGTTACAGTTACTTTTTATGGATTACATATTTACACAATGACAGTAAAATATTGACTATTCATTGATTCTGCTAACTTTAAATGTTTTTATTTGTTTATAATAAGCCTGCCGCATATATGCACAATATCTAACAGATTATATTAATGACTACAAGTTTTGTTATTTAATTAATAATCTGTAATCCAATTAAATTAGTAAGCACATAAGTAATCCAAATGTAATCTAAAAGTACTCAGACTACTTTAGCATAAATGTGTAATCTAACAGGTGATATCACTGACTTCTGTGTCATTTGTAACAGTAACAGATTGCAGTTGATAATTAATCCCCTGGCGGCGTTTACCTTTAGCCCAGCCGACCGCCACCATGACGAACAGAGCGTCGCTGTATTTGCTGCCCGCTTGCGAGACGCCGCTCAGAACCTTCCAGGTTCTCGTCACTTCCTTCATGGCTGTCAGGACCAGTCGCAGCGGCAGGAGAGATGCCAGAGAATACACCACATCCAGCGGACAGTAAAACACCAGATACCTGCGCGCGCACACACATAAATGAGCCTGTGTGTCTCAGGTTATGTATATAGTTACGCATGTATAGTATATGTATAGTCAGTAGCTTGGATTGTTAGTGTACTGCTGCAGTATGTGAAGGTTTAATATAGCTCTAGTGTTGTGTATTATATTTATTTATGCAGCTCCGTGGGCCTCCGTGACACAACATTATGTTCAACTAAGTCCACACATGTAGAGGAATGACAATAAAGCTTGACTTGTACGTGTGTATGTACATATACACACACACACACACACACACCCCCACACACACACACACACACACACACACACATACATGCACAAGTACACATGCACACAAAAACATGCACACATATTTACACACACAATCACACTTACGTGCACACACACACACACACACACACACACACACACACACACACACACACACACACACACACATGCACACATATATAAACACACATTTACACTTACAGGTCACACGCATGCATGTGCACACGTATATAAACACACATTTAAATGTACACACACATACATGCAGATGTGCAGACATGTACACATATACATGCACATTTACACCTGCACACACACGAACACACACACACACACATATGTACTCACGTCCCCACACACACACATAATTTGCACACCCAAGCACATGCACAACACACACATGCTCACTCAGACACACACACACACACACACACACACACACACACACACACACACACACACACACACACACACACACACACACATATATATATTTACATGCACATTTATACTTACACACATATTTACTTGCGTGCACACACACACTATGCACACCCAACCACATGTACAACACACACAAACCCAGACACACACACACACACACACACACTTAATATGCTCACATATGCACAAACACACACATGCTCTCGCACACATATAAGCTGTTCACAAGCACAATTACACTTACACACATTTGTACTTGCGTGCACACAAACACTATGCACACCCAACCACATGTACAACACACACATCGACCCACACACATTCACTTCACATGCACTTACACATGCTATATGCAC